TACTTCTTCAGTGAAGGCTGTATCTACACAATACAGCAGTATACTACAGTGACGAACTGTATGTCGATAATCCATCACTGCACCAGCAGGAATTTGCAATTCTTCCTGAGAGAAATATTTGCTATCGACAAGTCAATGTCGATAGCAAATATTTCTATGTGTCGCCTCAATGTCGTCGTCTCAATGAATCACATAACAATCCTGACACAAATGTATTGAGTCAAGACGATTCAAAAATAATACTCGTCAAATGAGGAAAAATGTGTAAGCTGTCAGACAATGTCATTTTAATTACTACAGTCGTCTCAATTCTTCCCGACCTCCCGTTTCTAGGTTAAGGGATTTTTTCCAGCCTGTTCTCTTGATTTATATATATATATAATTTTGTATATAGCAAGGCGTATGATAGGTTAGGTTAGGTTAGGTTAGGTTAGGTTAGGTTAGGTTAGGTGTTTTGGATCTGTTGTCAGTTATTTATATTTCATCCCACAGCCCAAGCAGTAAGTCAATTACTGATTTAATTTTTACATGGTGCAGTTTTTCTTCACTAATTCAGCAGACAAGCAACTGACAGGATAAATATCCCATACAGTATAATACCAAACTTTTTTTTTCTTAAATATAAATTAATATAACTAAATTGTGAGTTTATGTATAGTTAGCTCCAGGTCAGGTTATGTGAGGTGCTTTGGTTTCTGCGATTAAACGAGTGTTTACACTACCGGCTGAAGCTCATCGAACCACGTTTCGAGTCATAGGTTCGAACACAGCCACATGAACACTTTAAATCCAAAAATATTGTCTTTTATTGAGTTTTTGAAGTCATTTGATTTATACAATGTGAACCTCACAGTCCATTGTTTTGATGATGGGGTTGTTGTATTTACACCACGTACGAGAAACATTTAGAGACGCGATTCTAATGCAGGAAGAGAGTGAAGCGTCTCGAGGCTAAGTTCGACCTCGAGAAGAGGTCGAAAATAATCATTTGGGAGTCTTGTGTGAAGTGTTTTTCATTCATAAACAAGGGGTTTGGCGGCCGCATTAACGAACAGTTAACCATTGTTCACGAGACCGGACTCAACCAACACAATGCAGAAAAATAGAAAGTGTCAATATTGCAGGCGACCGAACGAACATTACCTCAAACACGACCCGATTAGCTGTGACAAGTCCCAGCAGTTAATGAACCCAGACCGTCCTGCAGCTGCAGGGGCAACGACAGCTGCAAGAGCAGCAGCAGCAGCAGCAGCATTAGGAAGATCAGCAGCAGCAGGAAAAGCAGCAATAGCAACAATTGCAGCAGCAGGAACAAGAGCTGCAGCAGGAACAATAGCAGCAGCAGGAGCAGCAGCAGCAGCAGCAACAGTTGCTAGAGTATAAGTAGAAGTAACAACAGAAGCACGAGAGAGAAGCAACAAGACTTATTGATGGGGTAGAGGAGGGGTGAGCCGGGGGGGGGGGGATGATTATGAGGCAGGGGGGGGGGGGTAAAGGATGATAATGGGGGGAGAGGGGGGGGGGGAATTGGGAATGAGAGAGAGAGAGGGGGGGGGGGGGGGGAGGGGAGGAGTGAGGGAAAGTGGTAGCGATGACAGAGTCGGTGCTTTCGCTTTTCTATCTAGGGAAGCTCTGTATTCAGGTCTCTTCTGCTTGCGGCTCGCCAGCCGCAGTCAGCAGTCAGCAGGCGCAGGGGGAGGGATGGGGTTGGTGGGGGGGGGGAACTGGCGGACAAGATTAAATCCTGTGTGTTTTGAGCATACTACACTGACTGGTGTAGGATTCACCTATATTGACCTTAGTATATCATGACCCTATAACCTGTCCATCATGCCCCTATTCTAATCTGACAGTGAACTCTTAAGAGATTTTTTTTTTTTAATTTTGCCCCGAGGGGGCGAGTTTATTGGGCAGCGCCACTTATCTTGAGAGTGGACACACCACCATAGCAGCATGTACAACACTCCCCCAAAAGGAAGAAAACCCGCTGGGTTGTTAAATGAACAAATCCACAAGGGCCGTGACGAGGATTCGAACCTGCGTCCGAGAGGTTGTTCATTTAAGAGATGTTATTGTTTTCTCAGATGAACACAAGAACGGGGAACACATAGCGCCAGTTTGACATGAGAACAATAGATAGATTTAAGTACAATTGCCATTTAATGTTTTAATACCTATGAAACGAATTGTGTACTAAGTGTGTTTGGATGAAGAGAAAAATGTAATCGAAGCATTCGAAGCTAATTCTTGACGAATTAGCAAACCCCCATTCTAATCCCACTTTATTAATTATATATTTGCCGTTTGAATGAGTTGGTGACAGTGAGCGAAGAGTTGTGTTGAAGACGATGATTTCTGCTCCTTAGAGAACCAACTTCAGTGGTTTTCGTGCGGTGGTCACGACAGGTTCGCGCTGCCAGACGCATGAGCAATAATACCTCGCGCTGCCAGACGTATGAGCAATACCTCCCGTTTCGTCTTTTTAATAGTTATTCTCAACATATCTGAAGATAAAAAAAAACAACAACGCTGCGCTATTTGATATGCAGGCGCACTCTCGCGTTCAATTCACACCCAGTGCATTGTTAGGCAGAGTGCATGTACGCTAATTGTAGCGATAAACCAATTATATGCAACCCATCCAATATGCTGTCAGCAGCACCAACGTCACATCAACGCAGTATATGTCTTACTCAGAAAGGAATTGTATAAACTAAACTTCTGTGAGTTTATACAATTCATTGTATTTTTGTTTAAGGAGCCTTTAGGAGGATTTTGTTTTTTTCTTTCTTTCTTATAAGATTACCGTGTCGTGAGCAATCCGGCGCTACCTGGCAACCCCAGCCGAGAGAAAGTGAAACCGCCTAATTCATGCCAGATTTTTCTCAATTACTTCGTTTAGTTTCGTTGTGTTCCAGATGTGAGAAAGTTGGCCCTTAATTCTTAGATTAATCTCTAGGACACCATCACTCCTCAGGGAAGCTTATTCTAGGCGTGCAATGTTCTCCTTTTATCAACCTAAAATATCTTTTCTTTTTAGCTTCGTGTCTAAACCAGATGGTCCCGGAAGTTACTGTGTGTGTGTGTGCTCACCTAGTTGTACTCACCTAGTTGTGTTTGCGGGGGTTGAGCTCTGGCTCTTTGGTCCCGCCTCAACCCTGGTCCCTGTGTATGTGTGTGTGTGTGTGTGTGCGCGCGCGCCTTCGGACTTTATGCTGGACTTATGTCTTACGTCCAAATCTTTCTGTCCTTCCGACGTATGCTGCTTTATCTTATACTCCAGCTCATTTTCTCTGTCATATTTATTTTCCCCCAAGTCTCTTGTGAAGGACGATATGAAAGACTTTTTGTCTGTCTACCGAAACCCAGCCCTCTCCTCCTCCTCCGTATGATCTCAGTTTCTGTCGTAGAACTCTACTAGGTTTGTCAGGCATAACTTGCCCTCTCTCTCTAAATACAAATTTTAAAGTAGGTCCTTATGTATATTCCCAGTAAACATATACATATTGATATAGAATATATTGTACTCGGTATACTTTTGCAGGGAAAGCAGTTGAATGGAAACCGGTCTGTAGTTTATAGTGATCTGTTTCTTAACCTAAATGTCGGTACTGTGACGTTTTCTTGAACTTCGAGTTTCTAAAATTGTGTTGCTTTCTCAAGTCCTCGGCTTATACACAGTACTCCCGGCAGCATCTGCTAGTAGCCACGGTGATATCTGGGGCTAGATTCACGAAGAAGTTACGCAAACACTTACGAACCTGTACATCTTTTCTCAATCTTTGGCGGCTTTGTTCACAATTATTAAACAGTTAATGAGCTCCGAAGCACCAGGAGGCTGTTTATAACAATAACAACAGTTGATTGGCAAGTTTTCATGCTTGTAAACTGTTTAATAAATGTAACCAAAGCCGTCAAAGATTGAGGAAAGATGTACAGGTTCGTAAGTACACGCATAACTGCTTCGTGAATCTGGCCCCCTGATCTTACCCTACCGTCAGGGACCAGGTCGCTTCCTCCTCGGTAGCTACAACGATGCCTGTAGATATATATCTGTTTCCATCTCATGGGGGCTATCTGTAATGCCGTTTTTCTCCTCGTATGTGGCTGTACAAGTGGAACTTCGTACTAGTAAAATTTCAGGGCGAAATACTAGCATGGTCTAGTGTCATTTCGCGTTGCTGTGGTCATTTTCAATTTTTCCCTTCTCCTGATTATCTTTTATGTATTTATGACTCTTTTAATTCTTTCCTGTTGACTTCCGATTTCTGTTCTATAAATTGAATCCATGTTTTTTTTTGTTCCTGTTATTTAACTGTGTTCTGTTGAACTCATGCACGGTGTTCAGGCCGTCTGTTTCTTCTGCTAATTAACAAGGAAAAATATGTGTGTGTGTTTGCAAAGCAGTAGAATTTCCGCTCAAGACAACTCGGTTACAAAAATAGAAAGTGGAACTCTCTCTCTCTACCTGACGGGGTGTGGCCGACTGGTGTGCGTGTGTGCGTGTGCGTGTGTGTGTGTGTGTGTGTACTCACCTATTTGTGCTTGCGGGGGTTGAGCTTTGGCTCTTTGGTCCCGCACTGTGTGTGTGTGTGTGCGTGTGTGTGTGTGTGTGTGTGTGTGTGTGTGTGTGCGTGTGTGTGTGTGTGTGTGTGTGTGTGTGTGTGTGTGTGTGTGTGTGTGTGTGTGTGTGTGTGTGTGTGTGTGTGTGTGTGTGTGTGTGTGTGTGTGTGTGTGTGTGTGTGTGTGTGTGTGTGTGTGTGTGTGTGTGTGTGTGTGTGTGTGTGTGTGTGTGTGTGTGTGTGCGAACATTGAAGCTTCAGTAGTCACCGCCTTATCGATTGTTATTATTGCAGTTGTGGGTTAATAGCCTCAAATGTCATAACATTAGCCCTTAAGAGAGCTGTCTGTGCTCTCTAGGATTGTTAGTGATTGTATCTACGCTTCCTGGTCTCTAACGATGCCATATTTCTTCTTCTTCCAGGCGAGCGACCAACACCATGGATGTGAGCCCCTCAATCCACGACCACTTCAAGGCTGACCTCTTCGACCTGGTGTCGTGCACCGAGTATGACCTGAGCGCCACGGGTCTCGGGTCAGACTGTTGGCCCCTCGACGACCTGGTGACTCGGAACGGCAACAACGCCGTCACCGTTGGGGATGTGATGACCTCTTCCTGGACCTACAGTGGTTACCAGGATCCGCCCACCTCCACCTCCATGAGCCTCGCTCACGATAAGGATAAGGAAACCAGCGATAAGATGTGGGGCGGCGGCGGCGGTGGTGGGGGCAGTGCGGGTGGTGCAGGCACCACCGAGAAGGTGGTGAACAGTGCCACTGGGAACACAATCATCATCACTTTCCCCCCCACTGAGGGCCCTCACCCGGCGCCCGATACCTCAGAGAGTGCCTACAATCCCTCGCCACCCATGACCGAACACAACAATCTGGAGCTCTTCAATTCTATTCTCAACGAGAAGCCTTACGACGGTCTGGTGTCCCACAATCACCGCTCCCCAGCCTCTGATTGTGTCTCCTACGTCAGCGCCTGCTCCGGCTACAGTGATTCAGGCATCTCGACGTCGCTGGAGGACACAGCTTCGCCCAACGCTGGCGGCCACGATCACGTCGACTTCGAGAGACTGGTCGATTCCGCTGTGGATTCTCTTGTGTACTCTCCCGGGGCAGGAGGCATGGTTCCGGTCGAAGATAATCCCAATATGGACGGCGGCAGCGCCGCCTACATGTCGTCTGCCCAGCTGCCGTACTCGCCACACGTGACGCAGAGCAGTGACGTCTCTTCTATCCTGGAGGGGGCACTTCGAGGCACAGTCCGGAGGCCAGGAGGGCCGGCACAGCCTCCTCCACTAACCAAAATCACAGAGGTGAAGACTCTAACACTCATGTCTAATATGACACCTTTGCCGCCTCTTACGCGTTTGCCGCCACTTACTTCTGCCTTCAAGGCGGAGCAGCTGAACGGCGTGGCGGGCTCCACGCAGATCACCAGCAGCAACGGGATGTACGTTGCGACGGGCTACGACTACCATCCGGCTCCTGCAGAGGAGTACACCACCCTCGACGCCTCCTTCAACAAGCTCTCCACCGCCACCACCACCACCACCACCCCCACCAAGATGGAGCAGCCCGAACACAAGCCCAAGAAACGCAAGTACACCAAACGTTCCGCGGGGGAAGAGCCCTCGACTAAAGGCCGCCTGTTACACTTCTGCCACATCTGTAACAAAGGCTTCAAAGACAAGTACAGCGTCAATGTGCACATCCGCACTCACACCGGCGAGAAGCCCTTCAACTGCGAACTGTGTGGGAAGTGCTTCCGGCAGAAAGCCCACTTAGCCAAGCACGTCCAGATTCACACCGCGCCAAAGCCCCCTGGAAAGAGGTGAGCGTTGAGGCAGACACTGTCGCCAAACCTCCAAGAATCTCCCGGGCCGCGCTGGGCCGCGCCGGGCCATGTCGGGCCGTGTCGAGGGCCATAGTTATGGTACCTCGCTCCACGTCTCACTGTCGTACCTGCTCCTCGTACTTAAGCCGTCCTTTGCAATATTCACAGCTTCCTACTGTAAGAAGGATAAGGGAATCCAGTAATTAACAAATATGTTTAGCCTACGGTGCAGCCAATACTCATGTATGTAAATATAGTGCCACTAACCCGTCCACTGTGTGTTGCGCACTCGTCTAGAACCTGTGTTAGAGAGTTGCATCATTGTTCTAATTGTTATTTCTAAATACAAAAACACTTAATACATCACCACTAGCTGGCTAGTGTTACACAAACACTCACACACCTGTCATATTCTTTAAACAGAATTTTGTGATTGAAAAAGGTTGTACTTTTGCATAATAGGGTGCCATGTTTTTTTATTTTTTTTTCTTAGTTCCGTTGCTTCAGAATTCTGAAGGTGTGGAGCTCGGTCAAGCAGCTGAGGAAGATTAGTCCGAGAGGCAGCCTGGTGTTGTCCCGAAATATCCTTAGCAACGTGACCACACGAAGACTGTGAGTGGAGAGAAGGCGAAGGTGCTGGAAGAGAGGGTGTTAGGAGATATAGGAAAGAGCTAAGAGGCGGATTTAGGAGGTAGGAAGTACCTTCCTCCTACGTTATCGTCAAACGATTTACACGGACTAATGAGGGGTGGGTGCTAGTAGCTCTTTGACAAGGGGGGGGGGGCTGGCGGCCTCGCCTGGGGTTATTGATGAAAGACTTCACGAAAATATTCAGTAGATTGCAGTACACAAGTTGGATAAGTGTCAAGCGAGGTAATGTTGTCAAGAGATATGCAGACGTCTGGTGCTACATAGCCTTCCCGGTTTGGTGCCTTCTATTGATAATTACTTGTATTTATGGTACGTTGGGTACACTTCATCCAGAGATCACTTATCACTGGCGCTGATGTTATGACTTTAACCGTTAGTCACTTATAGAGTTACGAGTCCTGAAATAGAGCTCGTACCTGGCTGCGTTTAGCATCAGAATAATCACCATGAACAGTCCAAATGTAGAGTCTCAAGAGAGCTCACAGTTATACATATTTCCCAAACCTGAGCCACTTACGAAAAAAACAATAGCTCTTAACTTTTTGAGGAGAACATTGAGAGACTCGCTCTGGAAAAACATCTTGGCCTCGATCACCACGAACCGAAAGCGTCTTATTAGAGCACCGTCAAGTAGAGAGTTGTTGTTGTTGCCAACACTCTTGAGATTAATATCCAGAATTCCCGGAAACATATTTAAAAATTTTGTTTTCAATTAAGTCCTCATCATTGGTAATGGAGTTGGTAACTAGTGTGAGGGGGAGACTGCCAGTCCTTACCCCTAGGGGCGCGAGTCTGACCAGGGGGAAGGATGCTACACCAGGGGGGGTGCCAGGTGGAAGCCCCAGTTATGTAAGTGCCAGATATAGGTGTCATAAGAGAGCCAGAGAAGTGCTAGGCTCAGGTGCTAAGTGGCACTTATGATCGACGAAGATGTCTGGCGAAGATTACAAGATAAGATGCTGATTAAGTTGCCAGGAGAGGATGAAGGGGGAAGGTGGGGGGTTGAAACAGAGAAGGTCGCCAGGAAAAGGGGAAACCAGATAAGGTTACCTGAAGAAGGGGGAGGGGGGAGGGAGAAAAACAGATGAAGGTGCCAGGCTCAAAAGTTGGCACCATTTAAGTGAAACGAATCAGCTTGGGGAATCCACATGCCTTCAGCAACGGCGCCGCCGCCCGTCTCTCGACTCACTCCTAATGTGCCGCTGCAAAAGGGCTTCCATTTGTAAGTTGCTGAACCGTCAATATTTACATGTAAATAGACTAAGATTTTATGAAATAAATTATTTATTCACCCCCCCCCCCTGTGGAAGACAATTTATGATGTTCTCGGACGTTATTCTCACAAGTTAGAAGCAAAATGATCGTCACAGTTAAATTGTTCATTGGTATTTACAGTGGTACCTCACATTCCCAGCGGTGCCTAACATTCCCAGTGGTGCAGGCGATGAGACACAATAACGTGGCTGAAGTATGTTGACCAGATCACCCACTAGAAGGTGAAGGGACGACGTCGTTTCGGTCCGTCCTGGACCATTCTCAAGTCGATTGTGAGACTTGATCGCAACACAATCACAAAGACACAATCGACTTGAGAATGGTCCAGGACGGACCGAAACGTCGTGTGTCCCTTCACCTTCTAGTGTGTGGTCTGGTCAACATTTCCAGTGGTGCCTAACATTTTCCAATGGTACTTTAAGTAGGTCCAAGAGTTATGTATTGGTACCGTATCGAGCCCATATCACCTGTAGTGCTCCTCACTGGTGTACAGTATATTGATGTATATAATAATAATAATAACAGTCTAGATTTGACGTCTGTCAAGACGTCTTGGGGAAAAAAGGTGCATCATTTTTCTCTGTCAATATTATTTAAATTATTTCTACTGCTAGTTTAGTGTAAGCAATCTCTTGTGTGTGTGTGTGTTCTATATATATATATATATATATATATATATATATATATATATATATATATATATATATATATATATATATATATATATATATATATATATATATATTGTTATATATCATAGGATGCTGCTCTAAACTGCTCTTCCATGTTAAGAAGACAGCAATTTTTTTAAGATATTTAAAAGATAGTTTAACGCTAAATTTATGAAGAAGTCCTTCCATAGCCTATCAAAATTTTAGAATGTATATTCTGAAGAATAGATACTTATTGTTCATCTTGAATGATTGTACATAAATGGAGATAATTATTGTTCAATTTGAATGTTTATTTTAATAACGAGATACTTATTGTTCAATTTGGCGTCATAATCGTCCGCAGTGAACTGGTTCCCACATTGTCAGCCGGAGTTACGTGTTAACAGTTGTGATACAAAAGCTGGCCACTGGATGTGATGTGGTGCCTTGTGATTGGCTGGCAGTTTAAACATAATATGACGTCAAGCACGCTGATATGTCTGCCAAAATGTAAACAAACGCTGTGATTGGCTGGCAGTCTAAACATACCTTATGACGTCAAGCACGCTGATTTGTCTGCCAAATTGTAAACAAACGCTGTGATTGGCTGGCAGTTTAAACATAATATGACGTCAAGCACGCTGATTTGTCTGCCAAAATGTAAACAAACACTGTGATTGGCTGGCAGTCTAAACATACCTTATGACGTCAAGCACGCTGATTTGTCTGCCAAAATAAAACAAACGCTGTGATTGGAGGATATCTGGAAGCTTGAACCCCAGTCCCTGGCACTTTATGTACATAGTACAACTCTCCCTTATAGGAGCTTCTACGAGATCTGTTTCATATATATATATATATTGTACTCTGGTATCCGCATCATCACACCAGAATACTGGAGAAGTTAAGAACGCTTGTGTCACACCCTCGAGTAATGCAGTTAATTGTATCTTATGAGTAATGCAGTCAATTGTATCTTATGTGAGTAATACAGTGAATTGTATCTTATGAGTAATGAAGTCAATTGTATCTTATGAGTAATGCAGTCAATTGTATCTTATGAGTAATGCAGTCAATTGTATCTTATTGGGAATGCAGTCAGTTGTATCTTATGAGTAATGCAGTCAATTGTATCTTATGAGTAATGCAGTCAATTGTATCATGTGTGAGTAATACAGTGAATTGTATCTTATGTGAGTAATACAGTGAATTGTATCTGGTGAGGAATGCAGTCAATTGTATCTTATGTGTAATGCAGTGAAATGTATCTTATGTGTAATGAGTCAATTGTATCTTATGAGTAATACAGTAAATTGTATCTGATGAGGAATGCAGTCAATTCTATCTTATGAGTAATGCAGTCAATTGTATCTTATGTGAGTAATACAGTGAAATGTATCTTATGTAATGAGTCAATTGTATTTTATGTGAGTAATACAGTGAATTCTATCTTATGAGTATTGCAGTCAACTGTATCATGTGTTATGATACTGTGTCTTAGTCACAGTCTGTGTCATCTTAAACATCCAGTCAACTGAATAATTAACAAACCAATGAGATATTATCAAACTATTAAGATAACAAATATTGACTTAATTCTCCCAAGTAACTGGCTGAAGAGATGGAACCAAGGGTTTCTTCCGTGTGAATGTTTTTAGTTTTCTGTTTAGCCGTATGAATGTATAATGCTCGGTTGTTGTCCCTACCATGTGGGGGGGTTATCGAGTACTGGTTAAGCTGGCATTTGTACCACGTTGTAATGAAGCTTACACAATCTTTTTCTTTCATAAAGAAAATTGTTTCTCCTCGCTGCTCTCCTAGATCAGGATTTGCCAAGCTTAGCTGGTGTATGCTCGATAGCCAAGAATGGTGGCAGCTATACACCGAGCTGTATATATGTATGTATGTATGTATGGTGTCTGAAGAAGGTTCTCCCGCCTTTTTTTGTATAGGTTCTTCACTGGAGATAATTTTTTTTTTCCCTGTTTGTATGGTCTCAACATTTCTCGTTGCTATGCAGTATTTTCTTTTTCGGGGGGGACAAAATGCGCAATATTGGCCCTTGGGCTGGACTCACATAAGGCTCATGCTGTCACTGTCAAGACGAACAAACTCGAGTTCTACATGAGGTCCAGATCAGGAGCCAGATCCAAGTTGCTTCAGTTGTAAACAACTTCTGAAGCAACGAGAGTGTAATATTTTAAAAATAATTTTATGAACTTTTATGTATTTTTTTGTTAGTTGTTATTTGCATTCATCACAAGATTATTCATCTAACCATTGTGTAATATTGCTCCATGTTGGAATGCTGGAGATGGACAAACGTCTCCTGTATTCCATTCTTATTGTGTGGGGGGAGGAGAAGGCAAAATAAAAGGGGGGTTTAACACCGCGTTAGGATCTCTGGGTCATGTAAGGAGTC